CTCGCCAACTTCGCCTGGGTGACCGTCGCACTCCTTCGCAGAAACTCGTCATCCAGGTATACTGGTCAACCGGGCAACTATGTCGACCAGCTGCTCCTGTATGTGCTCGTCGACCTCCCAAGTCGACAACCACACCAGGTCGACCTCACCAGGTCGACCACTCCTCCGGTCGACCAGATCCAGGTCGACGTCACTCCTGGTCGACCAGTGCAGTTGTCAGCTACCCAAGTCGGCGTCACCAGGTCGACGCCCCTTCTACGTCGGCGCCGACTTCTAGACTGACCTCTTGAAGTTGGCAACCTCCCAAGTCGGCGACCTTGCAAGTCGGCGCCGACTTGCAAAGTCGGTGACCTTGCAAGTCGGTGACCTTGCAAGTCGGTGACCTTGCAAGTCGGTGACCTTGCAAGTCGGTGACCTTGCAAGTCGGTGACTTTGCAAGTCGGTGACCTTGCAAGTCGGTGACCTTGCAAGTCGGTGACCTTGCAAGTCGGTGACCTTGCAAGTCGGTGACCTTGCAAGTCGGCGCCGACTTCCAGGTCGACGTGCCACATCGCCGACCACCAGTTGAAGTCGGCCGCTGGCTTCCCAAGTCGGCGGTATTGCAGTGGCGCCGTGCAAGTCGACCAACCCCGTCGACCAGCTCGTCCAAGTCGGCGTCGCCCACTGCTGCAAGTCGGCTGTACCTTCCGTACACCCCACCACGAAGTCGGCTCCGCCCAAGCGTGGACGGGGCCAACACACAACTCCCGTTGACATCGACGTCCTTCGTCGACGACGTCTTCTTCGACGCTTGCTTCTCCTTGCGCGGCTTCTCATCTCGACGGGGGCGACGACTGGCCGATCGACCACGGCCTCCCTTGTTATCGTCCTCGTCGCTGTCATCGCAGTCAGGGCACTCGAAGGAAAGATGGTCGGGGTCGCCGCAGATCCAGCACTCCCACTGTTGACCACCACCACCTCGTTGACCCTTGTCCCGCGTCGACCGCTTCTCGTCGACGTCCTTCGTCGACCGCCCACCTCCGCTACCACCTCCGCCCGGCTTCCCGCGCTGCCCTTGCTGTTGATTCAGCTTCAACGATGTAGCGTAGTTTGCCTGCGGAAGGACCTGTGTGGGCTGTTCGGCCTCCTGCATCGCCTCATCTTGAAGAATGTAGCTGGTGATGGAGTCCTCATCGAGGGACTCACACGTGCCGGACACCATCATCATCCTCTTCATGAGATTGTAGCTGTGCGGCAAGCCCTTGTCGATGTGGGTGATGTAGGTTTCGAGTACTCGGCGCCCGCCATCTGCATCTCACCCAGGAACCGTCGAGCACGGTTGCAATAATCCGACGCCGACTCCTGCTTGCCCATCCAGACGTGAGTCATCTTCTCCTCCAGCTGCCCGATGTACAGGTCGTCCCTGACCTGGTACGTCGACATGATGAAGTGCCATGCCTGGTGACCAGCATCCATTCGCTCTCGACAGCTCCTAAGCGCCAGCTGCACCACCGGCGAGCAGCACCTCGAGATGACCATGAAGGTGAGCAAGTGAGCCGCTCGAAACTCGACATCATCCACGGGCAGAATTGGCATTGTGCCGTCGGCAAAGCCCTTCAGCCCGGCGACCTCCAGCTGAGGTTCGATCGACTCCCTCCAGGTGATGAGGTCCCGTCGACCTTGCAGCGGTGTGACGGTGATCAAGTCTGGCGAGAACTTGAAGTAGCCATACGCCGGTGCAATCCTGCCTGCCGTCACATGCGTCGTTGCCGAGAGCCCTCCACCGCTCCGTAGAGGAGAGCGACGTCGAACATGGACGTCGACACGTGAGCTGCCTGCAGCCACCGTCGACCGCTGCACTCGCGCCTGGATTCCGTCGACACCACCGTCGACCTTGATCACCCCTCTCTGCCTTGAGCCTTCGCTGCTGCTGACTCGTGCACCACCGTCGACCTCGTCGTCGACGCCACCCTCGTTGCGCACCGGTCGAGGAGATGCAGGACAGGAAGGGTGTTCCGTCGCCCACTGCGACCGGATGCCCAACTCGACAATCAGCAAGGGTATCATCCCGTACTCGCCATCCGCGTGGCGTTTCCTCGCATCAGCCAAGCGTGTCTCCAAGGTGTGCGCTACACCCGCATCAACTACGGGGTCAGCCACGGTGACTATCGCTGCTGCCGGCCTACGAACAACTTAGTAGGTGGAAAAGTCGGCTCCTATCTGAAGGTCGCGTGTTCGTTCCACGCTCACCGCACCATGAGGAGAGTCACTCTACAACGGTAGTGAGCTAGACTACAGGGGTTGGCACAGACTACTAAGAGTGATCGTAGATTTGCTTGGTTCCTTAGTGCTTGCACATTCACGGGAGAAATCGGCAAGAGTTTCCACTAGCAAAGTTGGAATTCCAGAATGATTGAACAAGAAATGACAGAATGACTACATCTGGCACCTAGCCTGGTTGACCGCCAGCACAGCTCAAGGAACACCACTTATTGGTGGTGGTAGACATTGCATGGCTGCAGATTCGGAGTTGTTAGCAGTTTGTTAAGAAAATGAAACAGGCTTGTAAAAACCTGTGTTTGTTTGTAGAAAAAACTTCTTTTGCCAGCACAGCTCGGTCAACCGCCTGCCAGCGTTGCTTATAGGAGCCGCGCCAGCACTGCTGAAAGGCGACCTGCCAACAGAGCAGGTCGACGGCGTGCCAACGCTGCAGCGGAGCGGCTGTCCAGCGTTGCCCCGTAGAACACAGCAGAGCGCACGCTCGCAGGTGCGCGCAGAGAATTGGCCCGACTTGCCTTGTTGGGCATTCGTCGGCTCTTGTCTGCGCCTAACAAGCCACATCAACTTCAGGATACCAGCCCGCAGTCGTATTCGCCATCGCGACCTCGACGACGTTCGCGTGCCTCCGCAGAACTCGTCGAGCAGGTTACCCGGTCAACCCCGACCACCACCAGGTGCTTCTGGTCGACCACCACTGCTTCTGGTCGACCCCCAGGTCCCTCTGGTCGACCGCAACACCCGTCGAGCTACCCCTTGGTCGACGAACCCCTTCCGTCGACCAGGACCGTCAGTGGTTGTCACCGAGCTTCCCTCGTCGACCGCTGCTCACTTGTCAGGTCGACGGACTGCTCCGTCGACCTTCCGGTCAAACTGTAGGTCGACGGGATGCTCCAAATACCATCCGGTTGAGCTGCAGGTTGACGGGATGCTCCGGAGACCTCCCGGTCGAGCTGCAGGTCGACGGGATGCTTCGGAGACCTCCCGGTCGAGCTGCAGGTCCTGGTCGATGTCCCACCCGTTGCCCAGACCAGTCAGTTGCAGTTGTCGAGCTCCCTGGTCGACAGCAACACCACAGCAGTCCCCTGCAGCTCGACGAAGCCTGTCGAGCAGCTCTCCAATTGTGAACGGTCGGCTGCTACTCCCGTACATCCGACCAAGTCGTCGGCGTTGCCCAAGTGAGGGCGAGGCCAACACTCCATTCCCGTTAACAAAGACGACGCTGATGCCGCTGGGGAAAAACTTAAGGAGGCTGCACCCGATAGTGTCGCCTTTCAAATGGGCTGATAAGAACACGTCGGAGTGGCTGCTCGGAATCTAGATCACCTCTGGGGGCTCACCGGGACCTGCATGGGACAAAGCCTGTGGAAAAGTTAGCACGGTGCTGAGCTGTTGGGAGACAAAACATCTCAAAACTTCAGCGCGGGTCACAATCATAAATAGTTATGCGATGCCAATTCAGCTATTTCATGCGCAGATTTATGCCCCACCATACGAAGTCTGAACCAAGGTGATGCGGCTGTGCCATAACTTCATCTCTGTAGGGAAGGCGCTCCTTGACAGGCACTTCACAGTCTGAAGTTATGGATTGTCGTGCAGAAGACGGAAAGATGGGGGTCTGGGAGTGATTGATCTGAAGCATCGGATCGAGAGCACGGTGATCCAAGGCTTGGGGAAGGCCCTGGCGGAGCAAGAACCACTTCGGAACTGGCTATGAGAGAGAGCGGCAGCATTCCCACTCTGTCTGGCCACGATATACGCGCACCCTTTGATCCTGAAATACTGGCTGTCGAACTCATATGCTATAGTCTGTGTAGGCTGTAGTGGGGTAGACAATATGGGGTACAACACTTATAGGTTTTCCTACTTGTATCCACCTGTTTGCTAGTGCATTCATTCCTCATTTCTTCACATGGTATAGAGCAGGTTCCCTAGTGGGAACGCTTCCTCGGGCTCACCACTGAAATCGATTTTCCTTTTTTCTGACCGTAGCGCGAGTCGCCCCTGCCCGAGGCGCGCCCCATGGGCCACCCTCTCGTCGCGTCCCCTGCCCTTAGCGGCCTGTCCTGCCCTCCTAGAGGCCCCTCTCACGGCCCCTCGCGCCACCCTTAGCGGCCCCGTCGCCACCCCTAGCGGCCCCGTCGCCACCCTATACGGCCCCGTCGCCGTCCTTTGCGGCCCCGTTGCCGCCCTTCTAGGCCCCTCGCGGCCCATTCGCGGCCCCGTCGCCGCCCCTAGCGGCCCCGTCACCGCCCTTCGAGGCCCCTCTCGGCCCCTTCACGGCCTCGTTGCCGCCCCTAGCGGCCCCGTCGCCGTCCCTATCGGCCCCGTCGCCGCCCTTAGCGGCCTCGTCGCCACCCCTTGCGGCTCCTTTGCGGCCTCGTCGCCGCCCCTAGCGGCCTCGTCGCCGCCCTTAGCGACCCCGTCGCCGCCCCTTGCGGCGCCGTCGTCGCCCCTTTCGGCCCCTCCCCGGCCCCTTAATCGCCGAGCCGCCGAGCCGCCAAGCAGCCGAACCGCCGAGCCGCCGAGCCGCCGAGCCGCCAAGCAGCAGAGCCACCAAGCCACCGAGCCGCCGAGGCCGCCGTCGAACCGCCACTACGGAGCTGCTGCCGCCGAGTCGCCGTCCAGCCGCTACTGCCACTGCCGAGCTGCTGCCACCGCGGTTGCAGCCCTGTTCTTACCGGCGCGCCCTGGCCCTACCCACCCGGACTGGTGAGAGCACTCCCTGCTAGACCACAGCTGTCATGGCTACCCCCAGTGTCCTTACCTTTGATGCTGAGGGTCCTGTTGTTGACTTCGAGGTCTGGGTCGATGACCTACGGCTCTTCCTACAGTGCGATAGGGCAGACGGACTCTCCCTGTTCGATCTCACCTCTGGTGCCTCTCCTGCCCCGCCTGCTGATGCTGACAGCATTGTTCGCTCACAGTGGGCCACACGCGATGCTGCTGCCTGTCTTGCTGTGCGTCGCCACTTACCGACCGCTGAGCGTGCGCACTTTAGTTAGTACAAGAGTGCTAAGACCTTGTACGACGCTGTAGTTGCACGTTACTCTTCCCCTGCCACTGCTGCTCTTAGCTGCCTCATACTGCCGTACCTGTTCCCTGACCTTGCTGCCTTTCCCACAGTCGCTGACCTCATTACTCACCTTCGCACTAGTGACACTCGCTACCACGCTGCGCTTTCTGCTGAGTTCTGTGCAAAGAACCCTCCCCCCATGTACATCACCCTCTACTACATAGTCACCCGGCTCCCTGACTCCCTTCGCTTAGTCAGGGACCACTTCCTCTCAGTTTGCCCCACCACACTCACCGTTGACCTCCTCGAGGAGCGCCTCCTGGCAGCAGAGAAGAGCATAGTCGCTATAGGAGCCTCTCATGGTGACCCTCGTACCCCTGTCTTTGAGGGGTGTTCCCCCTCCCCCCTCTTGCCCTCTATTGCTTCTGCTGCTGCGGCCGACCTCGTTGGCTTCGAATCGGTCGGAGCTGCGTCTGCCCCTAGCGGGAGACGCCGCACCGGCAAGGGCAAGGGGGGCAAGGGCGCTGGAGGGGCTGGCGGGGGCGGTGGAGGTGGAGGTGTAGGCAGTGGAGGGGGTGGGGTTGGTGGTGGGAGTGGTGGCGGGGGTGAAGGTGTCGGTGGTAGCATTGGAGGCGGAGGAGGCGGCGGCGGTGGCGGTGGGAGCGGAGGCGGCGGAGGTGGCGGAGGCGGCGGCGGCAGCGGTGGAGCTGGTCGCGGCTCTGTGCAGAGGAGTGGCTCAGCGCCAGCTGCAGCAGCACACTCGTGAGACCCTGTCCCCCCAGCAGCTTCGTGAGTGGTACGCTGGGCTTCAGCGAGGTGGGGGTACTGGTCCCTGCACCTACGTGCTCCGTACTAGCGACCGCGCTGGTGAGCAGTGCGGGGGTTCGCACTCCACCCAGCGCTGCTTCGGCCGCCTGACGGACGCTTGGCGTCACCAGTTCCCTGACGCCACTGAGATCCCTCGCTGGGGAGAGCTGTCTAGGGCGGGGGTTGCTATCTTTGATCTTGACTATGATGCTATACTTGCTGCCATGTATGCTGTGTCTACTAGTGATGAGGGCGACTGTTACTTGTGTGTTCCACCTGACCTGGGCATTGAGACTGCTGCTCTAGGTGCTATTGAGTCTGCTGCCCCCGGTGCTGGTGAGTCTGCTCTCTCAGGTACCACGTCGGCTCAGGCCTCCCACACCTTCACCCTTGACTCGGGTGCTTCCCGCTCCTTCTTTCGAGACCGCACCACACTCCGCCGCTTAGTCGGCCAGTGGCGGTCTTCTTGGGAGACCCCTTCGGGGGTCCTGTCCTTGCCCACTTCTCCACTGTCTTACCGTGTCCGGCGGCCCCCTCTGGCACCCTGTCAGGTCTTTACCTCCCCTCGTTCTCTACGAACATGGTGAGTGGTGCAGATCTACAGGATGGGGGGATTCACCAGTTCACTCCTGCGAGTCAGCGAGTGACTCACTGCACGTGTGCTCGGACGGGCCGACACTTGGCCACGTTTACCCGTCGACCGGGGTCAAGCCTGTACACACTGACTACTGGTCCTCCTCAGTCTACTGCATCTGGTCATGTAGCTGCGTCGGGTAGGCGTCTGCTACGACGTCCAGGTCTGGTCCTGACTCTGCCCCCTGCTCGTGTCGTCTCCTGTCTCACCAAACTCTCCTCTGGCACCACCGCCTTGGTCACCCCTCCCTGCCTCGTCTCCGAGGCATGGCCTCACGTGTCTTTGTCTCTGGTCTCCCCCGGTCCCTCCCTCCCCTCCCTCCGGAGCCTGCCCCTACCTGCGTTCCCTGCGTCGAGGGGCGGCAGCGCGCCGCCCCTCACTCCTCCGAGTTTCCTCCGACAGAGGCTCCGCTGCAGACTCTTCACATGGACGTGTGGGGCCCCGCCCGCGTCCGTGGCTAGGGTCACGAGCGTTACTTCCTGTTGGTAGTTGACGACTACTCGCGTTACACCACAGTGTTCCCCTTGTGAAGCAAGGGTGACGTCACTGAGGTGTTGATCGACTGGATCCGCGCAGCTCGTCTTCACCTTAGAGAGAGTTTCGGCTCAGACTTTCCTGTTCTATGTCTGCACTCTGACAGAGGCGGGGAGTTTTCCTCTGCCCGTCTGGGAGCCTTCTGTCGTGCACAGGGCATCCGCCAGACATTCACGCTTCCGGCCTCTCCACAGCAAAATGGGATTGCAGAGCGCCGCATTGGCATGGTCATGGATGTCGCTCGTACGTCCATGATCCATGCAGCTGCTCCCCATTTTCTGTGGCCGTTTGCGGTTCAGTACGCAGCGCATCAGCTCAACCTTCAGCCCCGGGTCTCCTTGCCAGAGACCTCCCCCACCTTGCGGTGGATGGGGAAGGTTGGCGATGCGTCTGCGTTTCGTGTCTGGGGATCTCGGGCGTTTGTCCGCGACATGTCTGGGGACAAGCTGTCCCCCCGTGCGGTTCCCTGCGTCTTCCTTGGCTTCCCCCTTGGCGCGCCTGGTTGGAAGTTTTACCACCCCACCTCGCGCCGTGTTCTGTCCTCCCAGGACGTCACGTTTGACGAGTCGGTTCCTTACTACCGTCTCTTCCCCTACCGCACTACGCCCCTCCCCCCGCCGCCGCTCTTCCTTGCGCCAGGTCCCCCCCCGGTAGACCCCCTCCCCCCTCAGGGTCCTGCTCCGTTGGGTGTGTCCCAGGTAGACGCAGTCGAGCCTGTCGAGGTAGCTGTTGACTCTGGTAGTGCTACGGGTGCTGGGCCTAGGGGTGCTGGGCCTTGGGGTTCTGGACCTAGGGGTGCGGAGCCTGGGGGTGCGGAGCCTGGGGGTATGGAGCCTGAGGGTGCTGAGCTTGGGGGTGCGGAGCCTGGGGGTGCTGGGTCTACTCGTATGGCCTCTGGCGGTGCTGGGTTTTGGGGCCCTTCGGGTGCTTTGTCGAGGCGGGAGCTACCCTCTCCACAGGAGCAGCGCGAATGGTTTGCCCGGCGCTGGAGCCGTGCTGCTGGAGCTGGAGGTGCTACTGTTGCTGCTGACCCTGGGGTCGGCACTGGAGGTACTGGAGCCACTGGTCCTGGAGGTGCTCGTACTGGCGGTACTGTAGCTACTCGGACTGAGGGTGCTGCTGGGGCTGCTGGAGCTGGTCCTGCTGGAGGTGCTGCTGGTGCTGCTGAAGGTACTGGAGCTACAGGGCCTGGAGGTGCTCCTGGTGCTGGAGCTGCTGGCGGTGCTGGAGCTGGCGAACCTGCTGGAGTTGGTGCTGCTGGAGCTGCTAGAGCAGGAGTTGCTGGAGCTGCTGGAGCTAGAGCTGCTGGGGGTGTTGGCGCTGGAGGTGCTGCTGGCGCTGGTGCTTTTGAGGGTGCTGGAGTTGGCGCTGTTGGAGCTGGAGGTGCTGCTGGCGCTGGTGCTGCCGCTGGGGGTACTGGTGCTGTCCGTGCTGGTTCTGGAGGCGCTGCGCGGCCACGGCCGTACTTCGTTCCACTCCTTGAGCAGGTTCTTGGTCTCCCGCTTTCTACTGGTCCTGCTCCTCCCTTAGGGTGTCCACAGCCTGTCCAGTCGCGGTCACAGTTACAGCCCGCCTCCCCCCTATCTGCTCCTTCTCCCTACACTGGTCCTACTGGAGGTCTTGCTGAGCGTCGTGAGCCTGCGTCTCATCCTGCGTCGCCTGTTCGTGCTGCTCGCCCTAGTAGTCGTGCTCCGCGTCTGCGTCCTCCTGCGGTCCCAGGCACACACCAGATGGCACTGCGTCCTTCCACTGCTCCTCTGCGTGTCCCGTAGCCGTCTCCTCCAGAGTCCTCTCTTCCTGTCCTTGCTGACCCGGAGTCTGACTCTCTTCGTGCTGCCAGTCCTACTGTCACGCGTCTCCTGGCTACTGTTGTCACTGACCCTTCCTTTGAGTCCACTGCTACGTCTGCCTTGGTTGCTGAGCTTCTCGACTTTGTTGCTCGCTGTCGTCTAGACTACGCTGCTAGTCTTGTTGCTGAGTCTGGGTCTGTCTGTCCTCCGTCCGTCGGGGGTGAGTGTGCTCTTAGCATGGACGTCCTTGAGGACAAGCAAGAGGAGTTCTAGTGTTTTGCTGCTGCTTTGCCTCATTACTGAGGTGGCGGAGGCGGCGGCGGCAGCAGTGGAGCTGGTCGCGGCTCTGTGTAGAGGAGTGGCTCAGCGCCAGCTGCAGCAGCGCACTCGTGAGACCCCGTCCCCCCAGCAGCTTCGTGAGTGGTACGCTGGGCTTCAGCGAGGTGGGGGTACTGGTCCCTGCACCTACGTGCTCCGTACCAGCGACCGCGCTGGTGAGCAGTGCGGGAGTTCGCACTCCACCCAGCGCTGCTTCGGCCGCCTGACGGACGCTTGGCGTCACCAGTTCCCTGACGCCACTGAGATCCCTCGCTGGGGAGGGCTGTCTAGGGCGGGGGTTGCTATCTTTGATCTTGACCATGATGCTATACTTGCTGCCATGTATGATGTGTCTACTAGTGATGAGGGCGACTGTTACTTGTGTGTTCCACCTGACCCGGCCATTAAGACTGCTACTCTAAGATCCGATGAGGCTGCTGCTCTAGGTGGTGGTGAGGATACTGCTCTAGGTGCTATTGAGTCTGCTGCCCCAGGTGCTGGTGAGTCTGCTCTCTCAGGTACCACGTCGGCTCAGGCCTCCCACACCTTCACCCTTGACTCGGGTGCTTCCCGCTCCTTCTTTCGAGACCGCACCACACTCCACCGCTTAGTCAGCCAGTGGCGGTCTCCTTGGCAGACCCCTTCGGGGGTCCTATCCTTGCCCACTTCTCCACTGTCTTACCGTGTCCGGCGGCCCCCTCTGGCACCCTGTCAGGTCTTTACCTCCCCTCGTTCTCTACGAACTTGGTGAGTGGTGCAGATCTACAGGATAGGGGGGTTCACCAGTTCACTCCTGCGAGTCAGCGAGTGACCCACTGCACGTGTGCTCGGACGGGCGGACACTTGGCGACGTTTACCCGTTGACCAGGGTCGAGCCTGTACACACTGACTACTGGTCCTCCTCAGTCTACTGCATCTGGTCAGGTAGCTGCGTCTGGTAGGCGTCTGCTACGACGTCCAGGTCTGGTCCTGACTCTGCCCCCTGCTCGTGTCGTCTCCTGTCTCACCAGACTCTCCTCTGGCACCACCGCCTTGGTCACCCCTCCCTGCCTCGTCTCCGAGGCATGGCCTCACGTGTCTTTGTCTCTAGTCTCCCCCGGTCCCTCCCTCCCCTCCCTCCGGGGCCTGCCCCTACCTGCGTTCCCTGCGTCGAGGGGCGGCAGCGCGCCGCCCCTCACTCCTCCGAGTTTCCTCCGACAGAGGCTCCGCTGCAGACTCTTCACATGGACGTGGGGCCCCGCCCGCGTCTGTGGCTAGGGTGACGAGCGTTACTTCCTGTTGGTTGTTCACGACTACTCGCGTTACACCACAGTGTTCCCCTTGCGCAGCAAGGGTGACGTCACTGAGGTGTTGATCGACTGGATCCGCGCAGCTCGTCTTCAGCTCAGAGAGAGTTTCGGCTTGGACTTTCCTTTTCTGCGTCTGCACTCTGACAGAGGCGGGGAGTTTTCCTTTGCCCGTCTGGGAGCCTTCTGTCGTGCACAGGGCATCCGCCAGACCTTCACGCTTCCGGCCTCTCCACAGCAAAATGGGATTGCTGAGCGCCGCATTGGCATGGTCATGGAAGTCTCTCGTATGTCCATGATCCATGCAGCTGCTCCCCATTTTCTGTGGCCGTTTGCGGTTCAGTACGCAGTGCATCAGCTCAACCTTCAGCCCCGGGTCTCCTTGCCAGAGACCTCCCCCACCTTGCGGTGGATGGGGAAGGTTGGCGATGCGTCTGCGTTTCGTGTCTGGGGATCTCGGGCGTTTGCCCGCGACTTGTCTGGGGACAAGCTGTCCCCCCGTGCGGTTCCCTGCGTCTTCCTTGGCTTCCCCTCTGACGCGCCTGGTTGGAAGTTTTACAACCCCACCTTGCGCCGTGTTCTGTCCTCCCAGGACGTCACGTTTGACGAGTCGGTTCCTTACTACCGTCTCTTCCCCTACCGCACCGCGCCCCTCCCCCCCTCGCCGCTCTTCCTTGCGCCAAGTCCCCCCCCGGTAGACCCCCTCCCCCCTCAGGGTCCTGCCTCGTCGGGTGTGTCCCAGGTAGACGCAATCGAGCGTGTCGAGGTAGCTCTTGACTCTGGTACTACTACGGGTGCTGGGCCTGGGGGTGCTGGGCCTGGGGGTGCTGGACCTAGGGGTGCGGAGCCTTGGGGTACGGAGCCTTAGGGTATGGAGCCTGGGGGTGCGGAGCCTGGGGGTGCTGGGTCTACTCGTATGGCCTCTGGCGGTGCTGGGATTTTGGGCCCTTTGGGTGCTTCGTCGAGGCGGGAACAACCCCTTTCCACAAGAGCAGCGCGAGTGGTTTGCCCAGCGCTGGAGCCGTGCTGCTGGAGCTGGAGGTGCTACTGTTGCTGCTGACCCTGGGGTCGGCACTGGAGGTACTGGAGCCACTGGTCCTGGAGGTGCTCGTACTGGCGGTACTGTAGCTACTGGGACTGAGGGTGCTTACGCGGAGGCGATAGAGGGTCCCTACTCCTCTCAGTGGCAGGCAGCTATGGATGCAGAGATGGCTTCGTGGAAGTCCACAGGCACCTACGTTGACGCTGTTCCCCCTCCTGGGGCGAACATCGTCAGTGGCATGTGGATTTTCAGGGTGAAGCGGCCGCCGGGTTCTCCGCCTGTCTTCAAGGCGCGGTACGTGGCTCGTGGCTTCAGTCAGCGGCAGGGGGTTGACTACTTTCAGACCTTCTCCCCCACCCCGAAGATGACCACTCTTCGGGTTCTGCTGCACGTTGCTGCTCACCGTGACTACGAGCTGCACTCTCTCGACTTCAGCACAGCTTTCTTGCAGGGCAGCCTGCACGAGGAGATCTGGCTGCGTCGCCCACCTGGCTTCACTGGGTCTTTCCCTCCTGGTACCCAACGGCGTCTCCGGCGTCCAGTCTACGGTCTCCGCCAGGCGCCACGTGAGTGGCACGACACACTGAGGACTACGCTCGCGGCACTTGGGTTTGCTCCTTCTACTGCCGACCCGTCGCTGTTTCTGCGCACCGACACCTCTCTGCCGCCGTTCTACATCCTCGTGTACGTCGACGACTTGGTCTTTGCCACAGCAGACACTGCTGGACTCGCCTACGTGAAGTCCGAGCTGCAGAAGAGACACACGTGCACTGACCTGGGTGAACTGCGCAGCTACCTTGGCTTGCAGATCACCCGGGACAGAGCACGCCGCACCATTACCCTGACTCAGTCACACATGGTGCAGCAGGTCCTTCAGCGCTTCGGCTTCACGTACTCCTCGCCTCAGGCCACTCCTCTGCCTACTCGCCACTCGCTCTCAGCTCTGCCTTCGGATGAGGCTGCTGGAGTTGGTCCTGCTGGAGGTGCTGCTGGTTCTGCTGAAGGCACTGGAGGTACTGGAGCTACTGGGCCTGAAGGTGCTCCTGGTGCTGGAGCTGCTGGCGGTGCTAGAGCTGGCGGTCCTGCTGGAGTTGGTGCTGCTGGAGCTGCTAGAGCTGGAGTTGCTGGAGCTGCTGGAGCTAGAGCTGCTGGGGGTGTTGGCGCTGGAGGTGCCGGTGGCGCTGGTGCTTTTGAGGGTGCTGGAGTTGGCGCTGTTGGAGCTGGAGGTGCTGCTGGCGCTGGTGCTGCCGCTGGGGATACTGGTGCTGTCCGTGCTGGTTCTGGAGGCGTTGCGCGGCCGCGGCCGTACTTCATTCCACTCCTTGCGCAGGTTCTTGGTCTCCCGCCTTCTACTGGTCCTGCTCCTCCCTTAGGGTGTCCACAGCCTGTCCAGTCGCGGTCACAGTTACAGCCCGCCTCCCCCCTACCTGCTCCTTCTCCCTACACTGGTCCTACTAGAGGTCTTGCTGAGCGTCGTGAGCTTGCGTCTCGTCCTGCGTCGCCTGTTCGTGCTGCTCGCCCTAGTAGTCGTGCTCCGCGTCTGCGTCCTCCTGCGGTCCCACGCACACACCAGATGGCACTGCGTCCTTCCACTGCTCCTCTGCGTGTCTCGTTGCCGTCTCCTCCAGAGTCCTCTCTTCCTGTCCTTGCTGACCCGGAGTCTGACTCTCTTCGTGCTGCCAGTCCTACTGTCACACATCTCCTGGCTACTATTGTCACTAACCCTTCCTTTGAGTCCACTGCTGCGTATGCCTTGGTTGCTGAGCTTGTCGACTTTGCTGCTCGCTGTCGTCTAGACTACGCTGCTAGTCTTGTTGCTGAGTCTGGGTCTGTCTGTCCTCCGTCCGTCAGGGGTGAGTGTGCTCTTAGCATGGACGTCCTTGAGGACAGGCAGGAGGAGTTCCAGTGTTTTGCTGTTGCTTTGCCTCATCTCGTGTCCACGCTGATTGCCCCTGAGGGAGACCCGGATGCACCAGACATCCCGACTCTTCGATCTTACGCTGAGGCGATCGAGGGTCCCTACTCCTCTCAGTGGCAGTCAGCCATGGACGCAGAGATGGCTTCCTGGAAGTCCACAAGCACCTACGTCGACGAGGTTCCCCCACGTGGGGCGAACATCGTCAGTGGCATGTGGATTTTCAAGGTGAAGCGGCTGCTAGGTTCTCCGCCTGTCTTCAAGGCGCGTTACGTGGCTCGAGGC